TTATTTTTTTATTGAATCGTCAAGTACACAGGACAGGGTTATTATGTATGGAATAACACATAGGGCAAATGGCCTCCATGGCTTTGTTGTCACACATGCACTCTTTTGTCGAAATTCTCCATGCCCGTTTTGCATAAATGTGGCTGAATTTCGTTGATGCAGCCTTGAATTTCCTCCTTCACGCGAGCCAGTGGGCTTGTTGGCATAGACGTTTGACTTCAGATAACCCCATAAAAAGAAATCCAATGGTGATAAATCCCATGATTTGGGACGCTAATTATTTTTATCACTGAAAGGAGAGTACACATCCAGGAAATGTCTTTATGCTGTAACTTCATTCTTTCATGGGCTGTATGGCATGTGGCACCATCTTGTTGAAACCACAAGTCGTCCACATCATTATCATGCAATTTAGTCAAAAAGAACTGTGTTATCATGTTGCAATAGCAAGCACCAGCAACACTCACTGCTTGATCAGCTTAATGGTCCAATGATGCCTTCTGCCCAAATTCCGCACCAAACAGTGAATGTTGAGGATCCATTTGTTTTTAGACAATCACATATAGGTTCTCTGAAGCACAAATGCAGCAATTTTAACAATTCACAAAACCATAAAGGTGAAAATGAGCTTCATCGAAATTTTAGAACTGTGACTGAAAGACTTTCATTATTTTTGAAATATTTTTCAACAATAGAAACATGTTGTTCCATTGTGTGATGTTTCTTTTCTACTAACCCTAAACTATCAGCTGTCAAATACTTTTTTAATAGGGTTGCCAATACTTTACTGCACGAATGGTGACAAATTTAAATCTTGCATTAATTTTGGGACACCCTTTATTTGTTAACATCTTTTTTTTTATTAAACTTATTTGATTCTTTCTTCAGATTTCGAAATTTAGGTTTATTCCAAATAAAATTCGCCCATTTTTTATGATTTATTTTTAAAATTTGTATTTTAAAATAATTCTATAATTTTTGAAAAATCTATAATTATAACCTACAAAATTTTTAAAATCATCTTAAAGTAGATGTGAGCACACTGCAAAAAATTAGAGATTCTAATTCAAAATTGTCTACGATATACAGGAATTTACATATTGGCGCCTTTTGAAATTTGACATATTTGTTAGAAAAGATAATAATGCCAATGTGGCTTACGCAGTTTGTTAAAATTATCTGAAAGTCTGAACGATGACTTTCTTTCTGCTCGTCTGCAATGAAAAAATGGAAAGGAAAATAGGTTGCTATAAATTAAGAAGTTCGCCAAGTGAATTATTCTTGGCACAAACTGAAAAAATTAACCAAGTTAAATATTTGATTTCTCCGTAAATTTCGTATCAAATTTTACAAAATTTAATATTTAAGCATAATTTGAGTCGTAGAATCGAAATATGGAACAAAATAGGCATGTCATTTCAGAAAAAGTACGAGTTGGTGTCAAAATACCTATTGTTAGATGCCACAAGTTAACCAAAAACATTCTAGTCGTTTTGGACAGTAAGAAAGAAAAATTCATAAAACAAATAACAATCACCGCTAATCCTCAAAGTAATCACCAATGGTATCCAGTGCCTTTTGCCAACAAGTGGCTAGCTGTGCGAGACATTGCAGTAAAACTTGGGAGTCTTGGACCCAAAGAGGTCCGGGAGGGCCTTTTGTTGTGGGTTGTTGAAGGATTTCCTATGAAGATGGTTGTCCAGGGAATGGAAAAGGTGGTAGTCTGTTGGCACGAGATCTGGGGAGTATGGCAGATGGGGTAGTGTCTCCCCACCCAGTCCCTGGCCTCCCGAGCCACATGCGGCTTCACATTGTCATGAAGGAGGAGTACACGTACACCCTTACGATTGACCAATGCTGGCTCTTTATGCATCAGTGCTTAATGCACACATTACAACTGCTGCGAGTACAGGTTTGCCGTGATGGTTGGGCCCACTGGCAGGAGCTCATAGTGGACCACTTGGCGACTAGTCCACCAGATACAGAGCATGATCTTGCATGGGTGGAGAGAAGGTCTTGCAGTGCAAGGCACAGGGTCGCGTGGTGACAATTCGAAAAGTAAAACTAGCAGTAAGGTGAACCAGCAAAAAGAAGCAGAGGTGAAGAGCAAAGAGAAAGTGTTGTTACGCAACTGACCTTTTATACCGGATACATTTCAGATCACATGACAGTTTAATGTACAGATGTTGGGTTCAGATTTCATCAATAAGTGCACATCAGAACTGCAGGGAGTTTAATTAGAAAAATTACTGCTCTGTTATTTAGAATAAAAATGGAAGTTAAGGAGCTATTATTAACTTATAATTTGAAAGATAGATATTTTATGTTTTACATACACACACGCATGTATATGTATATATATATATATATATATATATATGGAATGGGCTGTAATGTTAATCTGAAATCATCTCACACTTTTTACACATAATCTCTTTTGTACAATCTGTTTTTGTTTTATGAAACAAATCATATCTTATGAGAAAATTAGGCATTCATGACAAAACCTTAGCAAATACAATGTAAAAGTTGGAAATAGTGAAGGCATATTACTGATATTTTGATACACACGTCAGAAAGGGTTTTCTTTGAATTTTGGTGAATGGCTGATAAAAAAAAAAAAAAAAAAAAAATGCTTAATGTTTTTAACATCAAAGTTTTTTTTTGTTGTTGTTTTATTTTGTTTAAAATGCTATTTAAAACTTTTCATGTAAAATATACATAGTGCATATATAACCCTACAAAAATAAGAACTTAATGCCAATTATTCATGTTCTAAGTTAAAAAAAGGTTACATATATTTTTTATTAAATATCAATAGAACTAATGCAGATTTTGGTTCCCTGGTTCAAATTAATAACACAGAACTTTAACGTTTGTTAACAGTAGTGTGTCGCTTTTAGAATAATAATAATAAACCATTAAACCTGATTATACTTAAGAGTAACATAATAAGAGATTTGCACCATTATGTACATTAAGTGATTTTCTATTAAGATGCTGAGATATTAATTTATTCTGCTTTTAACATATTAACTACAAACTTAACTAGAAATGCACATTAAAACTGTACTTCATTGTGGTGCCAAAATATTTATGGCTGCCCTACTGAAGCTAACAATTGATTTTAAATATGTCTGCCACTGTGTGCCAAAGCTGTTGTTGCGAATGTTTTCACCTTGACTTTCACTGACCATCCTGAAGATGATTAAAAAAAAATTGCCAATGAGGTGGCATTGTGATGCCATGTGGTCGATTAAATTTCATTTGGGATTAGTGATGATCAAAGTGCTAATTGAGGTTGACAGCCAAATATGCATGGGCAATTGATCAGCATAATGAAGATCCCACTGATTACAAAAAAAATTAGTAAAATTGATAATTAATTACTTATTTCAATAAAGATAACATATCATGCAGTAAAGAAATCACATTAAACAAATATAAGGGGGAAAACACACTACATTTATTTTAAACTCACTATTTTAAAAATAAATATTTTAAAAAATATGTAAATTTTTTATGCAATAAATGCAACATAAACAAAAAGCATTGCCTATTCTTTCACTCATGCCAGCCACTGAAATTTGTTAAGTTCTGGTCAAATAGCAATTACATCCCCAATATGTAAGTATACGCTTTACATTAAAAAAGAACTGGTGCAGCCACCATCCCCCCCCTTTTTTTTGCTGCACAAGAAGAAACCATTGCACCATGTTACTACATCCATTGAGAAAACTACTACTGCTTAACAAAACAAAATACATATAAGAAGGGTGGACATCTGAAGGGGATTTAAGAATTAGGTTAAGCAATTCTATGCCAATTTTTTTAATGCATCAATTCATCAAGTGCAACTATCACATTTATTAAATTAAACTTTTGCGCAATTAAAATCTGTTATTTTGTTTGTGGAAACAAGTTTGTATAAGTAGTAGTACACATAAAAATACATCAGTGATAATAAAGTATTTTTCCATTTGCAGACGAAAAAACTGCATTAAAATATTTCAGATTCTAATTAAATGTGTCTTCACCTGATATTTGTCAAGAGTGAGTTTCATTTCACTGTGAAACACACAATTCCACTGAAATAACCACATCAATATTTTTATAAGAAATATTACCTCATATTTGTTATGCCTTTAAAATAAATAAGTTATTAAATAAAATATATTTTATCAAGTCTATGTAAACTTTATACATACAACACACAAATATATATATATATAATATATATATAAGTAAACTATGTAGAAACTGCCAAAATTTTGAATTCAAGTTCAGCAAACACAATTTTTCGCTGCTGAAATGAAAATTCAATGAAATTTATAATTCAGATATTGCCAAATAGTCTTCCACTGGTCCTACAGAATAAAACATCTCATGTTGTAAAAATAAAAAATCCATAGTTACTTCCATATCTGACGTACTGGTTTTACAGTTATGTGGGACAATATTAAACAGTCAAATTGTCTTTATTTACGTATGGAATTAGAAATTAACAGTGACATAGCCAAAACATTTGCTGCCCATCTCAGTGATAACAAAAATATCTATAAAATTTCCAAAATGACATATATAAATGCAAACATTTTTAATTTTTGAAGAAAAACCTTCTTTTGAAAAAAAGAACTTTGAAAAAAAAAGTGCTGTTTTCATTTTTTTTTAATTAGCAAAATTGTGAGTAACATTATAAGAGTTTTTTTTTTTTTTTTTTTTTTTTTTTAATTACTCCAAATGCTGCGTTGAAAACAGTATAGCAAGATACGTCACTTAAAGTGTAACACTAAACTGTTGTTCCTAACTCATAACATGGAGAATGAAGAAGAGCATATTAGTCATGTGATGCTTTGGGAATTTAAAGAAGGCTATGGTGCTATGGAGACAGCTTAATATATGCAGTGTATACAGCAAAGGACTAATAATTAATTCAGCAGTTAAAAATTAGTTTGTCAAATTTTGCTCTGGAGATACAAACTTAAAGGATGAACTGAGGGCAGGACGTTCTTCTGACTTTGATTAAGACCTTTTAAAGGTAAAAAAGATTTTAAATAAATTAATATAATTTTGTTATTTATGAATCGACTTAATATCTTACATGCAAAAACAATCTATAGGAATTTTACCAATACCTGCTGCTCAAAAAGTGATCAGCTTCTTCCTGTGTCATGAAATCTACTTTTGAGTCAGAAGAAGTGCTATGTTTATGATTTGGAAATGGTTCATCCTGCAAAAAGATTTTAACGATAAGATTATAATTAAAAAAAAAAACAACTTGATCAATGAATTTTTTTAAATGCCAATGCTATTCAAATAGAAAATCTTTCTTTAATATTTTATTACAACTCACATTTAAATACACCACAAAAATACAGAATTATTCATAATTCTCTCTCTGATTTTGAGTCTCTAGACCAGTAATTTTAATAAATGCAGGAAAAAAAAAAAAAAAACGGCACCTAGGAGCATATAAGAAAACCTCTCCAAGTTTGCACTCATACAAGCTCTATCACACAATTGTAGATTTAGCTGCTAAATGGCAGTCATAATATAACTACCTTACTTATTAAAATTTTTGTTCTAGGGGCCTATACAGAGAGTTATATTTTATAGTTACGCTCTTCCTACCACAATATTGAAATTGTTTTCATAACAATTTCTGCTTTATTTTTAAAAACATTACTAGAGATTGTGATTAAACTGGTACAACAAGCTGTAAAAGAGAGCTGAATATCATTATACCTAGGACTTTTTTTTCTGAGAGAGATATTACATCAACTTAATAACATTTAATGAGTGGAAATACATTAAAAGTAAAACTTTACATCTGTTTAGCACATGTTGTGACAACAACTATAGACAGATCTTAATAATGCAAAAAGCTATAAATTTTATTATGTGTGCATACAAGAACCTGGCACTTGAAGAAACCAGCAGACTGTGCCTGGGTAATGTGGATGTCTTAACTCACTCAAAAACAGAGTAGCTCTTGGTAAAACAGAGAAAATCTCAAGACACTGCGTAAGCAAAAACAACCATAAGTAATATTATGTTTCAAATGTTTAGAACTTAAAGTAGATAACCAGAACAAAGCTTAGTGCCTGAAGTTATCAAACTGTACAAACTGAGGACTCTGCAATTGGCCTTCTGTGTAATACGAATATAAACAAATTTCCTACACAGTGCCATGCACAAAAATATCCCTCCTTTTGGCTTAATAGCTTAAAAGCATGTGTTTTATAATTTATTAATCAGCCTAATCATTGCAGTGAAAATAAAAGCTCAATTCATATAAATATATGAAACTATGAACACCGCCTCATAAAATTGCATAGATCTATAATAATTTTCATAACAGCAATTTTTGCAAATAGAAAAGGGATAAAATGTAGTTATGATCAGAGCTTCAAAATAATGAAACATGTCTGTTATCGAGTCACCACATGGCTAACATATTTACTTTTTCAACAGCCACATGAGAAGCTTTCTGAAAGTCCATAAAAACATTTCAAAAAAAAAAAAAGAAAAAAAAAAAAAAGTTCACTCACTAAATTGCCTTGATGCTGAGATCTTAACACAGCTTCAACAAAGAATAGTTCATGCTCTCTAGATTCAAATTCTGCTAATGTTTCCCCAGCAGCATCTCGTAAATCACTAGATATTCCATAAAATCCTTCAGCTTCATTGTCCTAAAAAATACCATTAAGAAATTCAATAGCATAATAAATGAAACATTTTGGGTTAATTATTATAAATCGCAGCTTAAAGCTTAAGAATAACAACATCTGAATGAATGGGAACATTAGTTTACCCGAACAAAGTTATATTTTTACAGTCTAACTTTTAAAACAATAATTCTTGTTGGTTCAATTTATTAAATCTGGAGTTTTTAAAGTTTAGATGCTTATAAATTTTGCATAACAAGCTTCACCCAAAATTATTTTTTAAGAAACTTGTTCAGCTATTTTCAGAACTTTTACAGAAACTGAAATTACACAAACCTTAATCCTGCGATAATATTATGAATTAATCAGAATCAAATGCTGCAAGTAAAGTAAAAATAAATAAGTAGAATATCTAATAGAATATTTCCAGCTGGGGGGGGGAATAGCAGGAATAAAAATTAAACAAAGCAAAAGCAAATAATCCACTCAATTCCTATAAGTACAAAATTATTAAAATTACAAGAACACCATTATAAAAGCAGAAAATTGCAAGGTAATTTAACAAAAATTCATAACAAAGTTTAGAATTTTATTTTGGTTTCAATTGTATATCTTTCTTCTTTTTTTATTTCTATGTCTATCAGCGGCATCTTTGGCATTAGACAACAAGCAGTCCAATAGAAAGTTGTTAAAATCAAAGTCAGCTTCTAAGGGATGATCAAAAATAAATTTGATAACTGGCAGTCTCTGGTGTGGTTTTAAGCTATGTTCCTCCCCCATATAGAGAACAAACAGTTTCTTTTGTTCACTCGTGGTTTAAATGCTTTTGTAAATAGTGATGCTTAAAGATTAACATGTAACCCCAGCAGCCCTTATGAATGCACTTAGTTTTGTCCATTAGTATATTCCATACTCGAAACATTGTGTCTTGATTGTCTGCTTTCTTTGACTTTAGAAATACTAAGCCACTTATGTTTTGCAATGGTAATGGAAGATAAGGTTCAGGAATTTGAGATGAAGCTTTATCTGCCTGTTAACTTGTATGCAGATGTCTCACAACAGCCCCAAATCCCCCTTAGAAGAGGGCAGCAGAAATATGGGTCCGAATTGCATTTGGGTGGTAAAAATACTGCTTTCATGTTTTTTTTTTTTTTTTTCTAATTTTATTAAGAACGTTTTTTTGGCAGAAAACTTTTGTTACAATTAGATATTTACAAGCAGTTTCCCAGATTATGTGAAAATATTTCTAAAAACATTCATTCTTCTAAATGGAAAAAAGTGAGTGCATTGGAAATGAGGAATTTCTTAGCTTTAACTTTGCTTATGGGGTACATTAATAAAGAAAGTTTAAAAGACTACTGATCAACTGATGATTTGCCCAAAATATAATTTTTTGGAAAAACCATGGCAAGCCATATCTAAGCATTCTTCGATTTCATCATTTTTCTGATAATAAAACAGCACCAAATCACACTGATCCTGAGTATGACTGCGTGCAGAAAATTCGGAATGTCTTTGAAATATTAAATTCTTGTTTCAATGACGTATATAATCCCACAGAAGAAATTGTGCTAAATGAAGTTATTGTTGCTTTAAAAGGTTGAGTGATCTTTTGCTACTACATCCCCAAAAAATTTTAATGTTTCAGCATTACGGTATATGAACTTGCAGGTAAAAATGGACACACCATCAACATATCTATGTATCTGGGAAAGGATAACGTTTTAGACACTGAAGAAAAATGTTCCGTACATCAAACTGTCACCAGACTTTTTTAATGTGTTCAATGGACTATGTATAAATCGCTTTTAAATTTATCACACAAGAAGAGGGACAGATATACAAATTTAATTCAAGTGCAGGAGACTTAGCTTATCATGTCAAATACATAAATGTGAAAATAACCCTTCCCAAAAAACCACATAATTTGGGCTAAAATTTGAAAATAAGATTTATATATATTTATCAACCAACCTATATGCACACCCCCATATATAATGTACATATTACCAGCAAGTGTATATGCCAAACACTCAAATGCATAACCAAGTGGCCAAGTTGTTAAGACCACTGAACACTGGTAGTTTGACTCAAGCAAAAAATTCATTGATCGGGCTGGCTTCATGGCTGGATTCCTCCATTGTAATCTGGATATGAGCCAGTTTCCCTTCGAAAGTCCCCATTAACCCCTTAACTGCTGCGGGCGTATATATACGCCTTGCTCAGCCGATGCGTTAACTGCCCCAGATGCGCAGCCGATGCGTTAACTTTTGCGAATAATTTTAGGTGTAGCAGCGCAAAGCAAATGATAGCAGTTTGGAAGGACGTATATATACGCCTGGGACAGTTAACGCATCGGCTGAGCAAGGCGTATATATACGCCCGCGGCAGTTAAGGGGTTAAGGCATTCTTTCTGTGTTTAGCCATGCTCAAGTAACTATCCATACTAATAAAGATATGCATATGGTATATAAGGTATGCATGCATATACAGCATAAATGTGAATATGTAATATGTATATATGTTAATTTTGTACATATGCATATTATATGCACATGCAGATAAAGGCATATGCATCTACGTATGCGTAAGTATCACGTGTATATGGTAACTGATATATATGTAGATGCATCTTTTGCATAATTACACAATATAATTTATCTATACTATCCAATCTACTATCTAATTTATCTCATTTTATATTTTGCTTTGAGGCTGAATACCAGTTTAATAAAATTTTCTTGATCTTATTAAATTAAGAACAAAACTGTTGTCACTGAGGTGAAGTATTAATGAGGAATACTATTTCCTGAACATTTGGAAGCTCAATATTTCTCACATATAACCCTATGCATAACAAAAATGTGAGCTAAATTTTAGTAGAAGAGATGTGCATAACAGCATTTATATTTTGACAGGATACCTATCTGTTCATGAAAACTCCAAGCTTTATATGCATATATAAATAAAAATTGGATTATGAAAAAAGTCACAGAGGACTATCTGTTCAAGAGAGGTGAGGCTTCCTAAAGGACTTTTTAACCCTTAAACACAGAGGTGAAGTCTACATGACCGTGCCAGTATTTTAAAACCGAGAGACTGCTTATAAGTTATATAGTTATTCTTCTACTTTTCAGTACTTTCAAGTTGACATAAAATATAACTATTCCTAAATTTTTATTAAACTGTACCCATTAGTTTTTTTAAATAATTTTTTTAATTGGGCCGTTGGTCATATAAACCTCAGCTCTGCGTTTACGTTACTTTTTCCTGGCACGAGGGGGAAATGGCTTTATTACTACTTCAGCATCGAACTTGTACAAGAACTTAACTCTAGAGGTTTGACATATGTCAATACTATGGAAAAAGTACAAGAGAAATACCAGGTGAATTTTTTCCAAATAAAATGAAAAGTGAATTATCTTTATGCATTCACAGATAGAATGACTTGTTTCATATGTGCCTCAAAAATTAAAAAGTGTTATTGTCATTTCTTCAATGCATCATTCAAAATCAGAAGACCTTGAAACTGAGAAACCAGAAATAATAACATTTTACAATGTGACTAAAGGAGATGTAGATGCACTGAATGAAAAATGTTTTGAACATTCTACAAGGCGATATTCTTTAGGTCACTTGATGTAAGTGGAATTAATGCAAATGTAATACATCAATCATTAAGAGAGAATGACATATTGAAAAAAATCAAATTTTTTATGGAGTTATCATCAGAATTAGTGAAACCGCATATGGAACAGAGGCTTGAAAAGCCAACTTGTGAACCAAGAAATAAAAATGTGCATTCAGACAGTGCTAGGAGTTTCCAGCAGAATCTATTCTAGCTCAGGTGTAACTGATACCCCCTAAAAAGCATAAAACATGCTTTTTTGTCCTCCCTACACTGAGAAGAAAAACTACCTATCTATGTTTCAGTTTCAAGAATCCGATATGTAATGAATGTGCCAAGAGAATTTGCAAAAATTGTGTTGAAAATGCTTAACATATTGTGCTGCAGTTTTTTAATATTCTTTATATATTATACTTTTTTGTATTATTTTATACAACCCAGATTCTGTAGATGGAAACTTTATTAAATAATTTAGTTTGTATGCATTTGCAAGTAAGTAGTGTTTATTTTATTTATTTGATTAAGTGTTTCGTACTTTTTCGTATGTGATTTAAAAATTAATTTTAGAGTTTTAAAAAGAATTAATTACTTCAATATAACAAGCAAAGTGTATTAATGCTTATATAATAACAATAGTACATTATTTTAAAATTTTATATTTTTAGAATGCATAAAATAGAGTGTGGTCTAAGAGACCCCTCCTCTGTGTTAATGTAACAGAAAATGAATGTTTGTACTTAAGGGTTAAGGGAAACTGGTTGGTATTCATGTCACACATGAGACCACATGCAGCCAGTTTGTTCATCAAAATGTGTATAAAATCCAACTACCTGTGTTCATCGATTTTACCATGTGAGCATTTGGTGGGTCTACATCAATAAAGAAAGAAAGTTTAGTAAATCCAATTGAAATTTTATGATATTAGCATTAATTTCACTAGTTTTTCAGTTTCTTCAAAGATGTATTTTTTTTATATTTTCCATCTTTATTGCTATTTCTTACATCTCATATTGCTGTCTGAAACACACAAGATGCAACACAATGAAAACATAACCATTAAAAAAAAAGAAAAAAACTAAAGAAGAATATTAAAACATGCTAAAAGATTTTAAAAAAAAGCTATTATCACAAAATGCAAGAAGGGACTATGAACAGTGATATAATTGGATAAAACACTTACAATACATTGGGGGGATTCATATATTTTTCCCTTAAAAAATTAATAAAAATACTAATGAAACAAGGGCAAAGAAGTGAATACTACAAATATACAAGGAGGTTTGTTTAATATATAAATATAAGTTGCTACACAGTATTTATTAAGAAATTAATGTGAATTGCTGATTTACGCAAGAAACAGATGGTCAAACATTAATTTCGAGTAAAAATTAAAACT